GGCAACACAGCAATTACTCCGCTCTGGCATCCCCGGCGACGGGAGAATTGTGTCGATAGCACTGCCCATAAATAAAATATCACTGGAAAACAGGGTCACTAGTGATGTCCAGAGGTTATGAGAGGTGAGCCCCGTGAGCCCCAATTTTTACAAGTAGGGTGTGGTTCGGTCGGTTGCGCCTAGGTAAAGGTCGGGGACAGACTTTTGATTTTGGCGAGTACTACCAGCACAAGCACTATCAGTACAGTATCATACCGATAGGCACGTACGCCCACTGCCGCAGTAGCGCACTGCAGAATCTACGAAAATACTTCCCTCACCTAACCCCAATTCCAATTCGATCCAGTCCGGCCCGATATCATACCCGTATCCTATTCCTACCCCACCACCCCTATCGCAGGGGGGGGGTTCTTTTTTCTTTTTCCCTTCCTTTCTTTCTTTTTTATGCGCCGCTTTATCTCCCCGACATTGTCAATTCCCGAATGGTGAAACTTGGGGGTGGGGGGCTACCGGCTACCGGCTACCGTATGTTAACCTGCTACTGCCCCTAGGGGGGAGGCGAGATACAAGTACCGTAGAGCGAGAGGGGGTCGCGTTGCATTGGCTGGCACTGTGCGTGCGGATACAATGCTGTATCACAAGGTGGCTTTGTGGAGGGTGGTTTGCCATGTATCGGTGGTGCCTGTATGTGCTCGAGTACAGTACGGTACAGTACACTACTGCGCGTAGAGTATGATACCGCTACTGCGCATACATGTACTATTCTGCAGAGCCGATACTCGAGTACGGTATTATACCGGTACTTTGCAGAGTTGATACGGTACGGTGCTGCGCAGTGTGGTGCGGTGGGTCGGTCGGTCGGTCGGTCGGTCGGTATGCACCGGTGCATACGGGTATACCCATCCCACACTTGGGGGGCTGACATATGTTTGACACAAGGACGGGACGGATATATATACTCAGCTAGAGATGATACAAGCACTGTAGACGGATGAATAACCAATTCAACTCGAGATGTGCTAGTACTGTGCAATACCCTTACGATACTTGCGGCTGATAGTCTACCTACAGTACAGTAGGGTGATTCAAAGCTCTCGGTACAGGAGTTTTGGTAGAAGTGTATTTTCTGGAAATTATGGTACACCGCAAACCGCTCCGGGAGGAGGAATGCAGCATACCAGTACTCGAGTACAGAGGTACGGTCGCTTTATTCATCATCCCTACCTACACCAACTCGCACTTTACTTAGTCTGTCACACTAGCAACACTTATCAGGCAAGAACAAGCAAGCTAATATACTAGTCCCAATGGCAGTCCATCAGTGACATCCAAAGCAGCACACCTGTATTTTCAGGGTATATCATGTACTATACCGGTTTGCAGCGTACTGAGAGCATTGAATCTCCCTAGTACGGTACTCGAGTACAGTACCGTACACGTGCTAACTGATAAGAAGCGGTATGCCTGTCCTGACTTGCCCACTAAAAATAAAAATAAATCCAACTCATCACTCTTCCTTTCCCCGAAAGCTCCTATGATACATCCATCACCTGTGCAAGTATGTATGTATAGTATACTTAATTCTCCGAGAGCAATGCTGCACCCAACTTACAAATTTAAATTCATGACCAGCACAATACCTCATTCAGAACCACCATTACCCCGATCATAGACCACAGACAAAAAATAATAATAAAAAGTGTCCAGAACACGCCCTACCATAAACTCACGCACACCCATCACCGCTGACTTACCGGGAATGGCAACTTCACAAAAATTTCCTTCACCGCTACGGGAAACGGGAATTTACAGCATCGCAAGTCGGAGCCAAAACACACCACTATAACATATATATATACCCTAACTGTACTCGCATTGTACAGTACATCACGTACCTCCGGGAATGACCTTTCCCCCGGACTTTCCGGAAAACCAAGGCTATCATTACTTTAGGCTACAGGACTATCATACCTTCCCATATTATAGTCTTGATCACGTAACGCCACGCTATGCGAAATCTCCTTCGCCAGAGTGACGAGATAACCCGAAAAGGAAGGGAGAAACGTAGCTCAACCCTCAACATCAACACCAGCTCAGGATAAACACCAGGACCGGGGGAAAGGACATGTGAAGAAATTTCTCCTTCCCCCTCCCTCCTCACCGCACCGCCAGCCAGCCATGGTAACCCACAACAGTGCTCGAGTGTGATAGTCTTCTTCACAAGGCAACTTCTGCGGTAATAATGTGCTACTGTACTCGTACGGTAGCAGTGTGTCAAGGCTTTTTTCTTTTCCCTTCCTCTCCTGGGCGAACTACACCTCAGAAGAGGGGCTCAATTATACGATAAAAGGAGCTCACTTCACTCGCCATTTAGCCGGTGGGGAGGGAGGTCCAATCTGCAAGCTTTCCACTGCGTTGGGCTTGGGTTAACGGTGTACGGTAGTTGATTCCGTAGACTATGCACATGTGATATAGCCACAAAGCAACCACCACCAAACAGAGTAAAAATAAAACTAAAGGTTCCGGTAAAAGGGATAGTAAAATAATAATAATGGAAAGAACTATTGTAGAAATGTTTATGCTATGCTATGTGCTCGAGTAGAGTTTTTTTTTTCTTTCTTCTCTCCCAAGGAAAGCATCCTCGTTCCCTCCCTTCCTTCTCCCCACACGACCCCACCATCAAATCGGCATCAATCAAGTTGCAGGCAACAGACCACACCCTAACCCGGTGAAGAACGATCGACCCGTAATCGCCATCGCGGGGGTTTGTACTCGTAGTATCCGCTATAAAAGGTCAGTGCGCTCTTGGAAACCAGATTCTACGTCGACCAACTACGGGACTTCGGGGGGATGACGGTATGGCTCTCTTTTGATTTGCTGACAATCGGCAATAGCGACACAAATTGACTCCGTGGTACTTGCAGTTCTTGGGTAACCACACACACAGACCGGGCCGGAGGGGGCGTTTCAATGTCGTTATATTTTACCGTGGCATCGCCCCCCCTTCTGCATACTGCCTCCACTTTCCTCCGCCGACGGAAGAGGCATTGATTCTTCAGAGTGTTTCGAAATACCGAAAACCGAGGAGGAGCCCGCATGAGTTGGACATTACCGCACCAATGAAAAACAAGGACGAGTCGCTAGGGGTGCAGGATTTGAGATATCGCATTCCCGGAAACCGACGGCAGATATTTGTCATGTCGGGACGCCATCAACCCAATGTGAGGGGGGGTACCTACGAGTGATCGTGCGTGAACTATTCTTTCCGAAGTTGTTGGCGAAGGATGGATCACCATTTCCCGATCCAATCTACTCGTACCGACCACCTATCCGATCACGGAGAGAGTTTTGTTTGATGCAACAAACCCTGAGAAAGAAACAAAGCGCTACGTACAGGGAAAACCACCTCATCCCTCGTTAATTATGAGTGAGCCCTGAGAAATACTTGCAGATTCATCTCTCAGATCTCCTTGAGCGCCAGTTCCAACTTCTCAAGCAGAATAGATGCTAAAACAACAAATAATAACCGTGTAAGTATGAGCCTAGTACAGGGTATGACGGGGCCATGAAAACTAACCATGGTGCTTTTGAAAGATAAGCATAGGTCTTAGCCTCACAGCGGTCTCTCCGGAACCGCCGATGTTGACTCCGCAAGTCTTCATCTTCTTCAAGAATGCATCTCTCCTAGGCGTATCGAACGCAATGAAGGTTCCGCGATCCTTTCCACGAAGATTTTGGATCCTTTCCGGGAACTTTGAAGCAAGCTTCTCAAGCTCTTTATAGAGATAATCTCCAGTCTCGGCCTAGGTTGTCGATTGGAGCAGTTAGCCAATGATCGCCCATCACAGAGGATACCAAGGACAGGACTAACTGTGTTTTTAACCAGGTCGTGCTTTGAAATTTCTTGGATAATGGCACGAAAAAGGATCGCTCTAACAGGATCTCCCATCCAAGTGTTGAATTGACGATATGGCAAATTCGGCCTCAGCAACGGATTTCCAAAATAGTAACCCGCAGTCTGAGCCTTCTTAGAGAAAGTAACCATATCCGGTGGAGTTTGAAGATCCCAGTGCTCATGAGCCCAGAACTTGCCAGTCGCTCCAACACCTGTTTGAACCTCGTCGACAATAAGCAGAACGCCCTTTTTCTGCGTCACTTCCCTTAGGCCCCGAAAAAAGGTCGGAGATGCGTGATTGTCACCGCCCTCAGATTGAATAGGCTCAACGACAATCGCAGCAATCGGGCAATGCCAAGAACTTATCAAACTTTCAACTTCCGCTAGGCATTTTTCTTCTTCCTCCCTGTTTGCTTCAATATTATCCTCCAAAGGGTATCTCAACTGAGGGAACGAAGCTTGGGGCCAATCGAAAGAAGGGATATCAAGCTTATGAATTGGCTTGCTTCTGGTAGTACTTAAACTTCCAAACAATCGACCGTGGAAAGCCTTCCTGAAGCTCATAATCGCCAACTTGGGAGACCCGGGAGCTTGGTTTTTCATGACACTCTCAATCTCCCGAGGAGTGAAATCAGCGCCTTCGCCACGCTCCATACGTCGTCTGTAAATAAATGCAGCTTTGTAAGAGGTTTCAATTGCATCAGATCCAGCCATGGCAGTGAATACCTGGTTCAAGCCCTTTGGTGCAACCGCGAGTATCCCGGTCTTCAGGAGAGAAGCCCAGTATCCAGGAGGAAAATTACCGAGAGCAGGCCTATTGACAAGAGCATTGACGGCCTCTTTGGAGGACATGGCTGCAGCGAGGCGAGGGTTATTATAACCGACTGGGATTGAAGCAATCTGAGCATACCTAAGCCAATAGAGAAATTCCCGGTTAGCAGTGTTGATCAGGAAAAACCAGACGGATTTCAGTTCAATGCAATGCATAACTAACACGTCGAGCAGCATCTGTTTGGCATCAGAATCGCCTGTCAGTAAATACAGGCGAATCATATATCGCAGTGTTCTCAGGGGTCGACAAACTCACATTGCCATCCATGTCAGCAAGATAATTCCCAACGCTCTTTTCGTAATCGCATGGCATGTTCAAACTCCTGATGTCGAACACAGGATCCAATTCCTCGATGGCTTTCCTGGAAACAGGTCCAGGGATTGATGTCATCACAGAGGGCTGACTTGGTTCGTTGTTGAAATAGGGAGCAGCCGTAGCGTAGGCATTTCGGCCCCTCGGGGGAACAAAGTTAGCAGTACGGATCCCCAGGCGGGAGGAATGACGAATAATTGAAGACATGGTTGCTTAGAATGTCCCCGTGGTAGTGGTGAGCGAAAGGAGTTGTGTGGGGAGGGTAGCAGAATTTCCGGTGCTTCCAGGAATCCAGTGTTATGAGGTGGAGCGAGGTGAAAGGGTTTTGAGTGGTTGGAACTCCAAGGCGCCGACCCACCAGCGTTTGGTGGGGCACCGCGAGTGCCCGCATGTTATCGGTTATCGTAGGCAGGGGTCCCTGACCCTTTTTCTTTTCTTTTTTCTCTCTTTGCTTTCTTTTTCCCCTTCCCACCAGTGGCTTACATCGACACTGTGTTCGCCGCATGGTATCATAGGCTACCCTATCAACCATTTCCAGCTTATACCGGCTCGGTGATACTGGGATAATACATTATCGGTAGATTGAATCCTCATGCTGCAAGTCGCATCCATTCCCTACCGGTCCATTGCCGGACAAATGCAAATCAATCCCCAACCAACCCCAGAATATGGCCGACTTCAAACTCCCCTAATGCAACTGTCACAACCCCTAAGCTCAAGGGCTCCGGTAAAATCGCTTGCCCAATGATTGTCTAGGGAATTGCGGAACGGTTGACTCAATGTGGCGTATCAAAGTCACCAGATTAACACCACCCGAGCTAACCGTATCGAGCAATATCTTGACAGCACTTTGTCAAATGAGGTAATAAATCAGCCGATCTCTGCTTTAGCCAACATATCTAACCCAAAGGGGAAGGTTTTGACCGCTAAATAAGTGGTCGCGAATCACCGTGAGTGTCGATTTGCAGTGTCAGACACCATATCGGACCGGACATTTTAACATTGCACGCATGACCTCGTAAGACGTACTACCGGTACTGTACTCAAGTACAGTACTGGTGCGGGCAGCGGAGCGATAATAATAATAATAATAATAAAGTGAACCTCTTAGTTTGGCACGTCGCAATATAAAAAAATGTTGGGTTTTTTTTTGCCCAAAGACAATTTTTCCCAAAACCCGAGTCCCTCTGACCGGAGGGCGCAAGAGATTGCATCCGCACAGCAGCTATGATACCTTACTGACTGCTGTTATGGGAACAATAATCCATTAGCAGGCCCGTAAACTTATCTATGGATAACAAAAAAAAAGTGCAATGCTCGATATTTCATTAACGGGGAAAGAAAGGTAACAGACATCAGGAAAGCAGTGTTTTCACGGAGCGGGTCTAAAGCTTACGTTGCGGTAATGGATAAAACACAATCTCACTTATCCCTGGTGGGATATCATGAGCATTGGAGATTTGGAATCGGAGACAAGTGGAATTCCTTTTCACAACGGCAACTTTAATTCAACGTTATATTTCGCTGTCAACAACTGAATATCATCCGGGATGCCGACCTTAAAGCACGGGATAGTACAAGTGCCCGGACCACTGTACGGTACTCGAGTACACCGCACGCGAATGCATGACCTACGAGCAGAGCTAATTTGAGTCATTGGTAATAAATATCCGCTAACAATAAGATGCGGCTCAAAGTGAATATGACCCATTGAACCAAAGTTGAGAGCGGGATACGAGAGAAGCAGTTCAAAGGCTGCTGATTCAGCCGTTAAACCAGGGATCTTTCCATAAAGCAGATGCTTCTCTCCTTATTATGCACCAACAGGTACTCGTACTTTATCGCATCAGGATACCAAACCCAGACAGTCCGGGAATGTGTCGGGGTGAACTTTCGAAAGCACACCCAGCAACTCAGCAAAGGAGGAAGCAACATTGTACCAGCGGCAGCAGAACTAGAGGATCCACGACTGCCGTGTTTTACGGCCGACTTCGGGGGCCGAGAGGGCAATAGGGAGAATGTTAAGATGGGAAAGCTAGCAGTCCTTCGTACTGTACGGTACATATACTTGTAAAATATGCTAAATCATACAGGATCTATGTGTATGTATGCCCTCTTGTGGGTGCGGTACGCACGGTACAATGCTGTTCATCACTTTACCCAATGCTCTTTTCTGCGCTTTGCGCTTCTTCGTAGAGCTCTCTTCTCCCGCTCCTGGTTCCCAACTCCACCGCTCCCTTGCACGATCGCACTACCCTGTTTAATTCTTTTCCTCACCCTTTTGTTCGCAATCCTATCCATCTGTCTGTTTTGTTTTTGTTTCTGACCGGCATGTTGTGCACTGACAATACTCTGATATCCTAGTACGGTATGTACGGTACGAGTGCCTCTGTGGAACAACGAGCACCTGCCTTCCGATCCGTAAAGTATCAGGGATGGAGATGCCAAAACCATGGAATTTGTGCGTAAAAACACCAGTTTTTGGCATTTTTACGTCCCGGATACTTCACGAATTGACGAGTGCCAACCATGCGATCGCCATTCATAACACAACCTTGTTAAGTTAGGTCGTTACAGTAGTTCCATTTCCAAATGCGCCATACTCACCACTCTCCCTCCCTGCACTCGTGTTAATACCATTAGATGGGTTCGATCATAAGGTGATTTGGTAACTGAAATTTCTTGCCGTTAAATAACACCAAAGGTTGCGATGTTAACCGGAAACAACTGGACAAAGGTCCCGTTGTCAATAGCAGATTTTTTTCTGGGGGGGGTCAGCATGGGCGTTGTGCCTCTGCTTCCTCAATCGGCACCATGCCGGTGCTGTACGGGAGTACTTGTAGGCTTTCCTGAGAGCGTCTAGCGTACCGGGGTGCCTTCCTCGTCGCTCAAGCTTGACCCCGTTCCATAAAAAGAAACAAGGAACAAAAGAGGCTATCTGAGCCAACGACCATGGATCAAACCCGTACTTTTGGTTGCCGATTGTTTGAGGAGGTTTCCATCGAACAGCCATACCCACTGAATGTGGGGGAGCTGAAGAGGTACACATTCCATTTTGTTTTTTTCCTATCGTGGGTCTATACAGAGAATCCACAATAGATAGCAATGCCTGTAGTATTCCGCAGTTGAATTGCCCCACCTGGGGTGGGCGGTGTTCAGTTTATCCGCACGGAATAGAATGTGGGAGTTGCGGCAACGGAAGGTATCAATCCTATGCAGCTTTTAGGGGAAGGGAAAAAAAAATGGTAGAATAGTCTTCGGTCAATGCAAGGGAGGAGTGTGAGGGAGAAAAGTTGGGAGAGCGAGGAGTGACAGAACGGGAGTCTCACAAGTACGGGGAAGTGTGATACCGATATGTAGTTTACTGGGTCTGTCTCTCTTGATGCTGGCAAACGCTGCAGCAGAGGTCCGCCTACATACCAGACAGTACATTTTTCAATATCTTTCACTTCTTATTTTTATTTTTTATTTTATTTTATTTTTTCCTCACTTCTTTTTTTCCAGGTCTGACTTTTTTTTTTATTCTCTTTCCAGTACCGCTCCGCTATACAATACAATACCGGTACCCTGCTCCTTCCATATTCCTTTTCCCTTTTCCTTCCTTTCTCGCCGCCCACCCCATCTCAGGTAGTCTATCTTGGCCCCTCGTACGGCAAAGCCAGAGGCCATCCACACACACACATCCTCGGACACACCACCACCCTCCTGGTCCACACTCCCAATACCACCACCACCTACATTACAATAACACCACCACCACCACCCTCAGCACAACTCCACCTCAGAGAACGATACAGCCAGTGCAACCACTATTTTGCTTCCAGATCTCTCCTCTTATTCTCTCTTCTTCCTCTGAACGCAAACCCTTCTTAACTGAAACTTTTGACTTGGCCATCACATCACCCTTATCCATCTATTCTCAGTATCCGCCGTAACCCCTTTGTCCTGAACCTGTCTATCCTTTCACTTGAAGAGAAGAAACGACGGCCCCTCGTTGTTATAACTCTTTGCTCGCTCTCTTAGCCCTGAGAAATCGCCCCAACCTGCTCGTCCTCTTCTATCGTGTCATCGTGTTCTTACGATAAACCTTTCTCATCGATCTTCCGCAACGTCCCTATTCAACTTCCGCTCTCGACCATCCATCTGGCTAGACACCTTACCGACATCCATCTGAATCATATCTCTCCGTCTTCCATTCCGTTCTGCACATTTATTCTCAGGGTCTTGCCTTTTTCATCACAACTAGTCTCTTATCGGCCGGATCAGAGGAAAGTCTGAGGATAGGAAAAAAACAAACAGAAGAAAAAAAGGAAATCGCCCCTCTCCATCAGAAAAAAAAAAAGCCGGGTCGATTTTTTTCGATCTTCAGTTCTTCCCCTTCTTTCGGCTCTTAAACATCTCACGTCGTCATATCTACCCCCCTGTGTATCAAAAGGATTTTTTTGTTCTTTTGTTGAGCAGTTGCTGCATCGAAGCGCAGAATCCGGATCGCGCTTAGGGATCAAAGGATATTTTACTTTGATTGTATAAAATATTTCTTACATTCCGGTAAATATTCCTTCATTGCACTTCCATCTCCTAGGTCACACTCTCGGAAGGAAGGAAACCCTTCGTACGGAGGCGGGCTAACTGTAAACGCGTGCTCAGGTCGACACATCTCACGCCCTAGCCCCCCAAACCTCTCTTTCCTCTACCTCTCCTTTTCTTCTGTTCTTCCTTTTCCTTCCTTTTCTTCAATCCCCCACCCCCCCCCCCCTTCCCCTTCCGCTCTTTACAACGTTATGGCGGATCAAACGGAAGTCGATCTGGATTCTATTATCGATAGACTGCTAGAAGTTCGCGGTAGCCGCCCTGGAAAACAAGTTCAATTGTTGGAAGCCGAAATTCGTTATTTATGTACCAAGGCTAGAGAGATATTCATATCGCAGCCAATCCTACTGGAGTTAGAGGCTCCAATCAAGGTATGATATCATTAAGGCCCGATCATACGTGCATTGTTCCTTGGGCGATCGGAGGTTCTGGTGTGTGCTAATGGGTTCAACTAGATTTGCGGGGATATTCATGGGCAATACTACGATCTTCTTCGACTCTTCGAATATGGCGGATTCCCTCCGGAGGCAAATTACCTGTTTCTTGGCGATTACGTCGATCGGGGAAAACAATCGCTTGAAACTATCTGTCTCCTTCTGGCGTACAAAATTAAGTACCCGGAAAATTTCTTCATCCTTCGCGGCAACCACGAATGTGCCTCCATAAACCGTATCTATGGCTTCTATGATGAGTGTAAAAGGAGATATAACATCAAGCTGTGGAAAACCTTTACAGATTGTTTCAACTGTCTGCCGATTGCAGCTATCATTGACGAAAAGATTTTCACTATGCATGGCGGCCTTTCCCCTGATCTCAACTCTATGGAGCAAATTCGTAGGGTCATGAGACCTACTGATGTAACCAGCCCCTTCCCCATCGTCAATTTATTGTTGTCGGAGGATCGGCTCACGTTCTCTCTCTCTCTCTCTCTCTCTCTTAGATCCCAGATTGCGGTTTACTCTGCGATCTTCTTTGGTCTGACCCGGATAAGGATATCACTGGCTGGAGTGAAAATGACCGTGGCGTCTCTTTCACATTTGGCCCCGACGTTGTCTCGAGGTTTTTGCAGAAACATGACATGGACCTCATCTGTCGCGCTCACCAAGTCGTTGAAGACGGCTACGAATTTTTCTCCAAGAGACAGCTTGTCACCTTGTTCTCCGCACCCAATTACTGCGGTGAATTCGATAACGCTGGTGCAATGATGAGCGTTGATGAGAGTCTGTTGTGCTCGTTCCAGGTACGTGGAAAATTTACTCCTGTTCAAACTCCGGATGGTACATTTTTGTTGTGCCCGTAGTTTTGTGTATGGGGCTGACGACTACCCTTCTAGATCTTGAAGCCTGCTGAGAAGAAGCAGAAGTACGTTTACGGTGGAATGGGGACGGGCAGACCTGTTACTCCTCCCAGAAAGCAGAAGAAGAAGTGATCCTGAGTTTGATATCCTTATTAGGAAATCGGTGTCGGCCTTTAAAAGTTGGTATTGATTTGAAATGATGGGGAGCGGGGAAGGTGGTTGAACGGGGTCCGATGCGTTTTGCTAGAGGTTTTAATTGAGGCAGTTCTCTTGCTTGGGGAAAACAAATTAAGGGGAGACAAAATGTGATAGGGGTTCAAATGGGTACTGTTGGATCTGCGTACCTTTGATCCTGACGGGAATCCCTATTCTATGAGATGCTTTTGTGCTTTGTGTTTGAGAAATGAAATGGAATATCGGTGGATAATGATTCCTCACGGCAACAGATTTGGGAGATTTCTATCGAAACCATGGAGAGTTGAAGGGGGAACAAATTCAGTGAGATGAGAACCGGCTGGCACCCGGGTTCGCAAAAAGCGTCTTATATATGTTCCTGTGGCCATGGCGGAACCTTTGTATCGATACTGGTGTCACATTTAAGCCAAAACCCGGGAGATGAAACCCACCAACATGGGGTGCAATCCCTTTCTCCTTTTTCCTAACCACTTGTCCTGTTATTCTTTGTTCTTAAGGTGTTTGGGGAAGCGGGAGTGCTCCGGGGGCGGGGAGCGAGGGGTATTCTTATGTTTGTTTTTTCTTTCCATATTTTCAACCTGGTACACTCCCTACTCGCCCGTGCCGGTGTATGAACCCATTAATGACCCCCATGAAACGAAATTCCTGGCCGGTAATATCATTTCCCGCTCGTACGGCCCTGTTTATATGTCTGGTATTGCGTGCAGTGTCTCTTTGCTGGCCTTGGTGAATTGTGGGTGTTTTGCTCAACAAAGTACTATGTTCATCGTGTACTGCCTGAAATATATCTTCCGTTGCCATCTTATCTTCCCCCACTTTCTGTCTCCTTTCTATGATAGTTTCTAGTTCCCTTGATTTAGTGGCTCACGGTAACCCATTTTGCTCTCATTGACGGATTCACGCTTGCCAGAGATGGCCTGAGGTGGTTTTATATATCTATTTATCTCTCGGTCTCCACTCCGTTTGAGATATCATAGTGTTAGCTCTCCTTCCACCCGCCGCTGCCCTGTTGTTGTGGTCGACTTTTTGCTATCCAATCCCATCTGGCATCAACCCACTGCCCTTCTTCACCTTTCTCGGAACACTCCCTTTCTGGGACTACGATGTGATACCATAATATATATATCATTTTTATATTTTCGTCCCAAATTTCCATCTGCTCATTGATTCCCCAGATCATACAAATACATCCATCCAATCCAGAAGCCAACTAGGCAATAGCGTAATCAACCTAAAACCCCTTCCCTCCCCTGATTTTGACATCGTGATCTGCACTTGCACTGTGTGTGGGGTAAGGTGTCCCGGTGCCTCAACTGTCATTGGGCCCTTGAATTGGGTGGGTGGGTAGGTGGGTTACTGCTACGGGTGTATCATACGGTGCTACGTTGCCGATACCCGTGTTCTCTCTCTCTCTCTCGCTCCTACAGCTACTTCCCCCCTCCCCCGTCTACCCTACCCTACGAACCAGTTTGCGAGCGCCGTTTGAATGCGGAGGTAACTGTTGTGTACAGTACATGGATAGAGATGAAACTGCTGGCAGGAGGGGCAGGAGGAAGAGATGCTGCCTGTGGGCTGCAGGAGGATGAGGTAGGTTAGATACTCAGTTACTACGTGTATAATACATGCTTTTATTTTTCCTTGGATGGCTGGCGTGGTCTCCTGTGGTATGGGGATAGTTGGGTTGTAGAATTGTAGAATTGCTGGGTGGATGGATGAATTGGAAGGGCTGTGTGGTGGTTTTATGTTTTGTTTGGTTGCCTTGGGTCTGCTGTGTGCTTTGTTATTGTGAGCACACGACACAACATGGCTTGCTTGCTTGCTTGCCTGCTTGATTGATTTTGAGTTTATGGTGGCTATAGGAACGGTTTTGTTTTTGGTGGGTTGGGCGGGGGTGGGTGGGGTGGCTGCTTTTATCAGTGCTAACAGTTTTATTACTTGTTTCTTCCGCCTTTGCTTTCTTGTTTTCTTTTTCACCTCTCGAGTTTGAGGTGAGGTGAGGTGGGATGATGACGAGGGAGAAGGAGGAGGAGGAGGAGGAGGGAAAAGTGATCATAGGCTGGGTCGAGAGATGAGGGATATTACGATATTCTCTGGCCTTGCCTTGTGTGTGCGCTGTGCTGTGCTGTGCTCCGGCTCCACTATTTCGTAAAGTTGCTGCAGAGTTCGGTAAGTTAGTGGATGGTAGGATAGCACGGGATGTGAAGAGATCAACTCTGTAGTAACGGCGATACTTGGTGGGTAATATCGATGCGTTCTTTTCTTTTGCGCGCATCGCCATTGGAGTGCCTGCGAGTATGATCTGTGATATGGTAGATGGTACCATGGTGCAATGTAGCACCTGCCGGCAGCAACTTCACTTGACATACAACTGGAAGTTACTTCCATTCCCACCTCTGGAGGGTGGCTCCGGAGTGATCACGTTTCCAAACTGTACCTCGTACCATGTGTCGGATACTCTTTTCCCCCCACCCTTCCATTTGCCTTCCGTGTTGTAGTCGGTGGATCCCAGCATTTTTAGCCACCACATGTCCTGGTTGGAAGAGAGTTTGAACCTTTTCAAGGAAGGAAAAAAAGGAGAAGGAGCAGGGGTCCTGCCTCCACGATGTGCACCAACTTACCCAACCTATGGATAGTTCTTTGGGATCACATGGGAGACTGGCTTCGCTGCGCTCCCTACACACCTTACTCGCACATATCATATCATATCGTGAATCGCAGTATCCCCAAAACATGAACGGGTGACTAGCGTTTAGATTTTCTAGAAGGATATCTGAGACCTCCGCTTCTCCTCCTCTCACCCTCTCACTCTTTTTCAGTTTACCCCTCTAACTCCCCCTGCCCCCCCCCGTATTCCGCCCCTCTCCAAAAGTTACCGTGGGTAAGCGCCGGATCTCCGCGGACGTTTTAAAAGACCATGCTACCCTAGGGCGGTACTACTACCCAACGGCAGTACTTCCTCCTTTCACACTGCTCGAATACGGTACTCGTACCATAGATACCCGTGCACTGCACAGGTACGTCCATGGCCAGCACACTTTCTCTCGAAACCACACTACATCAAGTTAGCCGCGGGGCTTTCGTCAAGCCTGACTTACGATGCAATAACGCAATCCTGTAGACCTACCTTATCGTATCGCGCTTGCCCGACCTCCCTTCTCCCCAAAGCTTAACACCGCCATACACGTAGATCGACATAGCGGAAAACAAGAACAGAAAATTAAAACAGTATCGGCTACCGTGCGATGCCAAACCGCCGATCCCTTCCCAAGGAGAGGAACAATCTGAAACTTTTTCTTCTTTTCTTTTTTTTTTTTTTGCTCCTTTTCTTGATTGAGTTCTCATGATGCAACCCCCCTGGCTTCCCCGCATTTTTTTTTTCGACTACGCACGGACCAGGATTTACAAAAGAGCCTCAACACTTTTTCCTTTTCGCCCATTCGGTCACCAATGGTACTCGTACACTATTCACTCGGTGCACGTCCTCAACTATTCCCCACATCTCCGTACTCGGGTACATAGCTGTTCACCCACTTGGTGGGGTGTATGTACCGGTATCTGGAATCGACCCCCACCGAAGAACCCCGAGCATGATAACAATTGGGAGGCTGGGGGTAATCTTACGCGGAGCTGTTCCTCACCCTGGCTCGTGGAACTTCGGCTTTCTCACTATTGGTCCCCACAGCCCCCCCCCATGCCTGCGCCAAGACTTATCGAGTGCGCGTTCATGATGCTGATATAATCCTCCCAGAACAGGGGTTGTGCTTGAGCTTGTGTGGCGAAGGGGGGGAGGCCCGCGAAGTGGCGAGGACCCTTGATCTACGGTAACGCATACGGGTGCACCCTTGTGGACGTTCTGGCCTCTCTGATCCGGGACGGTGGGCGCAGCTGCTGCAGCTACTGCTGCGATGGATAGATTTCTAGCCCGCGGCCGTAGCAGTGTTGTCCTGATGTTATGATAGCGCTTGCGAGCGAGTTAGGCGTGGGGGATTGGCCGCTGTGTTGTGAATCATCACCCTACCTTACTCGGTTGCTGCCTACCTTCCTGCATTTCATTAATCGAGCCTTATATAGGATTTGAGTGTTTTTATTTCTGTTTCTATTTTTATTTTTTTTATCGCCTTCTGGACAGACAGGTCGGTAGGGGGGGGAGGGGTGGACCGCGATCGTGGGGGAATCCCGGGAACTAAAATGGGGAGAGTCTGGACCGGCCTATCGATTTCTGCGCCACGATATCCCTCAACATCTCTCTGGGATGGCGGTGTTCTTTTTATTTGTTTCTTTCCCGGCATCAGCATACGAGGCAGGCAGGCGGGGGAAAGAGTGAAAGCATGAAGAAAGCGCTGGGGGCGCGTGTGGATTATCGGGACGATGGCGGTGCACGTGTTCCGGATGAATTCACACTCCCGGATTGTTGGGGGGTGGGAAGAAGCAGGGAGGGGCACGTGAGGCATGTGTTACCAGGGGGGTTTTTCAGCACTGCAAAACACGGTCTTTACATTATGGAAATGAATTTTGCTGCATAACAGAACATGGTGAAATGTCGCGGGTGTCTTTTGTTAATCGTATGGATGACGATGGGGGTACGATTCACCTATTGTCACTCGATAACTAGTAAATAGTCTCTTTTTTTATTTTTATTTTTAATCTTTCAGATCTAAGAGCGTTGGGGGTTCGCATCTCGATCCTTAGTAGTATGATAGAACTCTCTGCGCTGCCGTTCGCACGGGCGGAGAAATCCCGACCGAGATGTTATTCCCCGTTCCGTCCGTCCACCCATCCGTCCATCCACTTTTTCTTCTACCCCTGCCACGGCTTATCCTCCCCGCGCCTCAGCTGTCACTTGTGCTGTGGAGAGCTCCGAAGAAGTCATATTTCCTCCGCCTTCCACAAGCACCACGCTTTTCTCCGTGCATCGCCAGTCAGCCCAGATTCTGCATATCACACACCACCCCGCAGTGGACATTGTCACCCCACAAGGCAACCAATTTTTGTCTGACGAGCAGCAATACCTGTACCGTACTGTGCTATATACTGGGCGCCCCCGGCGTATTCCTTACATCCCAAAGTTTTTCCCCTGGTTTCCCCACTTCCCCACGCCGGCTTTTTCATGGCTTCCTATTTCGACCTTTTTTCCCTCTGGCCTCACGGGATCTGTAGAGTAACCAGGTCGTGTGTACGGCACAGTACGGTTAGTAGGCTCTAGTGCGGGTATGATACTGTACCATACGTGCCGTTACCCTCTTAGT